ACACACACACACACACACACACACACATAGTGAAATACAACAAACCACCCGTCGTCAGACAGATCAAGCGCACTTCACAGCATCTATTACAGCAAACGGCTCAGCAGCGACCCACGATGTCCTGAAACGCACCAGAGCACACATTCACCTCTCAGAAACCAGCCCCGTTTACACTCAAAACACACTGCCTCGAGCAAAGTTTCACAGCCAAACTCTCTGTGGCGCAGTCGTTACCTGTCTGCACTCACCTGACGCATGCCAGCGGTCATTATTTCCATCGGTCAGAGGGTTAGTTCCCATAGACTGCATGTGCTGCTGCGCTTCCTAAAGCACACCTCCTCTCCGTGGCTCGGTCTGCAGCGAGAGCTCCTCCGTCTGCTGCTAAACACCGGAGCCCATGGCTCAGACTCTCGCCCGCAGCAGCAAATCAACGGCTGGCCGGCGTGATGTCAGCAGCGCTCAGCCAGTCAGAAGGCACATCTCTGCTCGCGGCACGTCACTGGCTAAATTGAGCGGTTCATTAGCCAAACAGCCACAGCCCGAGGAGTCGGGGGAGACGTGGGTGGTTTACCTTCACCCCCAGCCCCAAAAATACACCCGCAGCGCAGCTGGCACGCGAGCGCGACTTCAAGTGGGTTTAATCGATAACTGCAGGGTGCTTTTCACTCCGATTCAATCCGTCTAATTGCTACGCACCTCTCAGAAACCAGCCCCGTTTACACTCAAAACACACTGCCTCGAGCAAAGTTTCACAGCCAAACTCTCTGTGGCGCAGTCGTTACCTGTCTGCACTCACCTGACGCATGCCAGCGGTCATTATTTCCATCGGTCAGAGGGTTAGTTCCCATAGACTGCATGTGCTGCTGCGCTTCCTAAAGCACACCTCCTCTCCGTGGCTCGGTCTGCAGCGAGAGCTCCTCCGTCTGCTGCTAAACACCGGAGCCCATGGCTCAGACTCTCGCCCGCAGCAGCAAATCAACGGCTGGCCGGCGTGATGTCAGCAGCGCTCAGCCAGTCAGAAGGCACATCTCTGCTCGCGGCACGTCACTGGCTAAATTGAGCGGTTCATTAGCCAAACAGCCACAGCCCGAGGAGTCGGGGGAGACGTGGGTGGTTTACCTTCACCCCCAGCCCCAAAAATACACCCGCAGCGCAGCTGGCACGCGAGCGCGACTTCAAGTGGGTTTAATCGATAACTGCAGGGCGCTTTTCACTCCGATTCAATCCGTCTAATTGCTACGACGTTTGAGACGCTCGTTTACATACGGACAGTCTCAACGTCAACAATTAAATTAAATTCATTTCCATATGGACAGTCCCTTGCCAACTAAATGTTTTCTTGAAGCATCAGTTCTTCTGGATTGAGTCTGTCTCAGTTTGTTCTGTTTCTTCATGTGACTCCAGACAGACTGATGATGATCAGATCACATCTCTGTGTGCAGCACTAACATATATCTCACTGCATTATTACAGTTAATGGCTAAAACTGATATTTCCTACTGACACACTACAGCAAAAGATAGAAATAACTGACTTAAAACCATTTGTAGCTGCTGGGAATACTAGTGTTATAATGATTTTGGCCAGCACTATAATTGCTACGACGTTTGAGACGCTTGTTTAAGACTTGTTTATGAGTCTCAACGTCAACAATTAAATTAAATTAATTTCCATATGGACAGTCCCTTGCCAACTAAACAGGTGAATCAGATGAAACGCTTTAAAATACTTCCAACATCCCCAAAACAAGTCAAGCCACGTTTATTTCTAAAGCGCTTTATACAATACAGATAGTTTCAAAGCAGTTTCACATTAACAAGGAATAACAGTGTTAATGTTGTAAAAATCATCAATTATGAATCAATTTCAGCTGTAAAGCTGCTCTACAGAAGACAACAGTGTCATTATTCAGATCAGATCAGTGAGGTAATTTAAATAATTGATGCACATGCAATGCAAAAAACAAATTAAAGAAGGTAAAAATGCCCCTAACACAGAAGAAAAATAAACAAAAATTCTCCTTTAGCTGGGTTCACATCTTTACATTTCCACTGCTCTGGAATAATTGCACCACTGATAAACGGCACGCTGGAAATCTCACACCCCATAATCAATTTATTTCAGTGTGTGTGTGTGTGTGTGAGTGAGAGAGAGAGAGAGAGAGA